CTGGACCCTTTTTTTTTTTTTTTTTTTTTTTTTTTTTTTTTTGCGGGGTGCCGCTGACCCCTGACCGGTAAGTGCCGACCAGCCGATCGGTCGGCGGGCCGGCAGCCGACCAGTCAAGGGCCGCCGACCGTCAGGGGGTGCAGCAATGACGTATGGTCGTTATTGCTGCATCTAGACTGAAAGTTGCGCCCGAATACGGGTATATAGAGAGAGAGAGCATACACGTTCGATTCGGGGGAAGATGGTAGCACACGAAGCAGTGGTAAAAGAGCAAATGCTATCCAAGTGGCGCATTATTTTCAATTTTTTTAAAAGCAAATTCGTGTTCGACTCATCTACGTGGGAGTGTTTGACAATCTTCAGTGGAATCAATGCAAGATTTGACAATCTTCAGTGGAATCAGTGCAAGATAACATGGCGGTGGCTGGAACAGTGCTGGGACATACCTTGAGTGGAATCAATGCAAGCATACCGTCTTCACCCAAATACACAGCCCGGTCATTATGCCTGTATTTTGTGCACCTTTCAGACTAGACTAGCTTAGCGCCCGCAATGCGGGCGGTGCTGGCTACGACCGGCAAAAACAAAAACCACCAAAAACCAGCAAAAAACAAAAGAGAACCCTGAACAAACAAATGCCCCCTTCTCTGTCTCTCTCTCTCTCTTTTTCTTTCATTCTTTCTGTCTTTGTCCTCCAAGTCGAGTTGCACACCCTCAAGTCCAACTGCAGCGTGCCATTGCTTTATCCTTTCCCCAAAGTCGAATCCCGTGCTATACTTTGTCGACATATCGAGCAGTTAAGGACCGCACCGCACACTGTCCCCACTTTTCTCCAACTCCACGCATAGCCTGTCAGGGGGGGCGGCAGCAGGGGGAACGGGGGGTGGGAGCGGGGGGTGGGAGCGGGGACGGGGAGAGAGAGAGAGAGAGAGAGAGAGAGAGAGAGAGAGAGAGAGAGAGACTCGCTCCATTGCAAAGCATTCCAAATGTATCTTCTGGAGTTGCATAAGTCTGAATGTATCTGGCCCAGGAACAGTCGAGATATGTGTAGAATGTTTCGTATTGGTAGCGGATGCGTACTCCGGCCAGATCCGTCCGAAGAGCATGGGTGCTGAGTCAAGGAGGGTTCCCTGTGTAAAACTGTGTAAAAGACGGAGGGCATATCTGTCATAGCCACAACAATATGAATGTTACTGGCATATGCTAATGCACATTTAATTGGACAAATTTGAAATTTGGACTTATGAATGACCTCCAGGAGCCATTCAAGTTTAATGAATTTCTGCGGCATTTGCGAGAAATGTGCTATGGGAAGCAGTATAAAGGTTTCTGGCAACCAATTGTTGATGCTCGTCTTACACTGATCAATCAGGATGAAGCACCTGATAGGTATGATGGTTCTCTCGCCTACTTCCACTCCCTCTCTCTTTCCCTCTTTCCCTCTCTCCCTCTCTCCCTCTGTTCCTCCATCTTTTTCTCACTCCCTTTCTCCCACTTTCTCCCTCTCCCTCCTTGCCTCCCTCTGTCTGTACCCTCCTGTCTTTACCCTCTCTTGGAGTTAACACAGTGCTGCTTGTTCTTATACAACTTCCGATACTATGAAACAAGGGTTAGCTATGGTTCTCACCTACTCCCCCTTCCTTCCTCCCTTCCTTCCTCCCTCCCTCCCTCCCTCCCTCCTTCCCTCCCTCGCTTGGAGACTGTGGGTGCTGGTTCTCCTGCAATTCTCTATGCCACGGAGACAGGGAGTGATACGACTCTCTCTCTCTCTCTCTCTCTCTCTCTCTCTTTTTTTTTTTTTTTTTTTTTTTTTTTTTTTGAAGTTTGGCCCATTGCATAGTGATGTTTGACAGTTTTTTAAACTTTTTTGACTAAATATTAAATATGTGAGGATTGAGCCCTCAAAAGGCCCTGTGGGGCACACAGACGTTCAGGGCTCAACGCTCCAGCAAGCCTCGCGCCCGCCCTAAGTGAAGGCGGGCCTGCATAAGTGCGAGAGGCCTGCTTTCTCCATTTTTCGTATGTGGGGTCTTAGACAGTTGCAGCACGCCAGTTGGTTACACAGCAATGTGAGCCTTCCCTGGTTCCTTCCAGAAGCAGCAGCTGCGTCGTACAGTTGAGCCCAGGGCTAATTCAGTTGAGGCCCTGGGCACACTCATCCAGAGGCCGACATGTCACGTTGCCTCCGCGGGCCAATGAGAAAGCAGCTCCTGCGTCACACACAGGCCACGATTCAATGGGCCGTGCCAAACACTTGGAGCCTCGTGGGCAATCTGGATGTGCCTAACTGCACGGGGCCCAGGCCAGGTATCTGAAGCTAGGGCTGGGCGCAGATGCTTTGGGCCGACCTGAAGCTACTGGGCCCCTACACACCAGGCCCAGACGAGCCAGCAGCAGGGGCGCACTTTCCATATAGGAAAGTGAGCGCTCCTGGGGAGGGCATGCTGGGCTAGGCTGGCATAGCGGCCACGCTGCTGCATTCCCAAGTGCAGCTGCGATAGCGCTAGCCGGCCAGACGCGCGCACGGGCGCAGAGGTGAGAGAGGGGTGCTGCGGTGGCAGCGGGCGCACGGCGGCCATAGCCGGGCTGCGCGTGTGGTGGCAGGTGATGCTGATGGTGGTCTTCAGGTAGGAGTCGCATGCAGTGGGAAGACAGGGTGTGATGAGGGGAGGAGAGAGAAACGTACCTGGTGTATTCTGGCGGTGTGCATTGGTGACAACGTCACGTACATTGGTCTTCAACTTCGATGTGATCTTGTTGCAAGAACATAGACAGGCTAGATAGACTGAGTAGTGTAGGCTGGGCACTGGGCGCCAGACAGTGGGAGCGACGTTGGATATTATGTTGGTGTGGACAAAGAGCGTTGGCGTTAACATTCGAGTTCATTGTATTGCTCTTATTTGGATGACATCTTGGTGCATTGAGCAGCTCTCTGCTCGGTACACGACCATCTGGGCTACTTTGTGATTTTGCAATTTGGAATTCTGTCTATCGCTCTCGCTCATGTTCCTTGCAAATAGAACTTTGTTCGCAAATTCTGAATATTTTGTGTAACTTGTGTTTGTAATATTTTGTATATTAGTCATTCAGTAATTACTTTTTTTAAGTTTTTTTATTTTTATTTTATTTTATTTTATTTTAACAAACCAGGGGTCTGGTCCCACCTACGGTTGTTGAGTTTAGAAAAATCAACGGTGTGACGCCATGTCGACATTAATAAATTCGAAACAACAAATAAAAACCTGAAAAAAACGCTAGAAACAGCTTTTCTCCTTATTTTTTATAGCGTAACTGGGAGAAATGAAACATGTCTGTAACAGTCGGAGTGAACGTCTCCGTGAAAAAAGGATACTCCCCGTGGTGAGGGGACAGGAGGTCACCATTTGTAAAATGGACAGGGACGACGCGGATGGCCAAATGCATTCATTGCCCAAAGAAGGAAACGAGTTTGATGCCAGACAGCCAAACACAGCTGTCAGAGTTCCTCCGTTTCAGGATGCAATGAGGACTGAAAAAACAAAAAAAAAGGCACTGAAGTTAAGAAATGTACCCTACCCTCGGTAGGGTAGTTTTCTCAACGGAAAATGGCTTCCCGCCCAAACCAAAAGGGCCAACGCATACTACAAAACGGATTTCACGTCAAAAAAAAATTCTACAAAATGACTAAATCTAATGGGTTATTCTCCTGTATTTTGGTACCGTTAGATTCGCAATACATCAACGGCAGAGCTCCGTCCCACCATGCCACAAGTGATAGAAAGCTCAGCGTTGAGAAAACTCGACGCTGTAGGTGGGACTAGACCCCAGTGTCCTTGCTAGGAGAGGTGGCAATTGCTAATTGCCAATTAGACTATCCATTTTGAGTATGCGGTGTGTTCGATTTCCTTTGTGTGAATGGTTTCTTTCTTCTTCTTACAAAAACAAGTGCACAAATTACTTGAAATTAGTCAGCCTTGACCTTCGGGACATCCGTTAAAAATGGAACGATACACAGAGAGAAGATTAGCATGGCCCCTGCACCAGGACCTTCCCTTGTCCTTGCACGGGCGGGCCACCTGGGGACCTTGGCGGCCTTGCTGGTAGCCTAGAAAATAAATAAATAAAAATAATGAGCCTTTCCCTGCCACACTTGCGCATTGATCTTACCCAACTTTTTTTTTTTTTTTTTTTTTGGGAAGATCTTACCCAACTTTGTTTCCAGCCCGTTGGATTTCTTTTTGTGAACCTTTTTTTTTTAAGGTGCACTTGTAAATCGGATTCAACCGGTTTCTCCGCATATCATACCAGATGGTGCTTGTTTCGTCTTTTTTTTTTTTTTTTTTTTTTTTTTTTTTTTTTTTATTTTTTTTTTTTTTTTGAACGGAACCCTTAGGCTCCCTTGTTTTTGTTTTGTTGTTTTTCAGAGCATTGAAATATTCAAAAGACAGTAGTTAAAGCTTTCCTGTTCGGGAATCCCAAAGCAGCACCACAGTCCTTTTCGGAATAGCCACCTCTTTCCCCTTTTGGGGGGTTAGCCACCACTTTCTTGTCTGACGTGGTCACTCCCCGTGTTTCATTACCAGCCATCAGTTTTCCTATTGAGGAAAGTCACAACTTTCCTTTCTGGGAAAGCCAACGGTTTCCATTTTGGGACTGACATCACTGGACCTGTTTGTGATGGCCACTTCTGTGCTTTTTGTAATGACCCCGTCTTTTTTCTATTCGCTCTTTTTTGTTTATTTGTTTTGCCTCCCTCGTCTCGCGCTGGTATGGTCCTCTCTCTTAATCGGGACAGGGCATCTGGGCACCGGTATCTGGAATAGGGTTTTTCTTGTAGTCACAATTTCCAATTCTTTCCTATTATGATTGTCCTGCATTGTGCCCTTCATTTTTATCAGGGATTGCAATGGTTGCTATTCTGCCCATCCATGATGTACCTAAAAAAATAAAGATAAAAAAATAATAAAAAAGAAAAAAAAGAAACTTAAAAACTAAGCTGCATAAGGAAGCAGTTTGTTTGATTGTTTTCTTCTTCCTCTACATGGCTGAACCCTCTTCTTCTTCTTGCACCTGCTCCTCCTCTCTCCTCCTCCCTCCTCCTCCTCCTCCATCGCCCTCCTCCTCCTCCTCTTCCTCTTCCTCCTCCTCCTCTTCCTCTTCCTCCTCCTCCTCTTCCTCTTCCTCTTCCTCTTCCTCCTCCTCCGCTTCTTCCTCCTCCTCCTCCTCCTCCTCCTCCTCCTCCTCCTCCTTCTTCTTCTTCTTCTTCTTCTTCTTCTTCTTCTTCTTCTTCTTCTTCTTCTTCTTCTTCTTCCTTCTTTTCTTCTTCTTCTTCTTCTTCATCTTCCTCTAGTCCTCCTCTTGCTTTTCATTTTGTTTTCTCCCGGCTTCTTCATTTCTGATTCTCTCAAACATGCGGTTTTGCTTGTGCAGCGATGTATCTGCTGACGAAGCAGCAGCATTTTTTGCGCACAGAGAGATAAGAAATGCGGACGCTGTCCAACCAATGGAAGACGACGATGTCGACGAGATGGCGGCTCTTCTAATGTGATGGTAATGGCATACGCCAGTGGCAATCAGGGCCAGACATAAAATTTTCCTGACCCAGACAGAATTCCTGAGTATCAATCCAGGCAGCAAAGTACACTATCCATCATTTTCGTATCAACTACATGCATCTACTATTGGCCGATCTTTTCGAAAACGGTCGATCAATGGTTGTAGGGCGTCATTGCCAACTCCAAAATGTGAGCGATGGGAAGGTGAGGCGTGATTTGGACGAATATGCCGGAGAAGGCATGTGGTGATACAAGTGGAATAGAGGTTTTGTATAACAATGAGATTAATAATTGACGGTCCAGCCTTCCATGTGGATGCCAGCACGTCACCCACAGTGAGATGGGTAGTGGCATGTGATGCTGTGTGAAGAGGTTCTCCTCCTCTAAGAAACAAAAAAAAAGGATTCTTGTTTCTCGTCTGACTTGACAATGAGAGCTGCAGCAACTCCTTCGTCGTCGTCGTCGTCGTCGTTGTAGTTGTCGTTGAGATGTGAAAAGGTGGTGGTTTTTGCCCTTCGATAGTTGTGACCGCATCTACCCGTGTGTTGTATTGAATCTGGACGGATTTAGGTCAGATATGCATAGAGGGAACCCCCAATGGCATCTTTTGCCACTCAGTAGCTGCGTTGTTCGGAAGAAGTTTGAAGAGCTACAAGTGTCCGCACAATTGCACTTTTCCAATGCGTATCCAACCCAAATGCTGTCCAGATTCGGTCGAGAAAGTGCTCGTGTAAGTATGCTCTTTTAAGAATGTGAGATGCGATGAGGGTGTCTGTGCCTCGTCGATATGCCTCTCCGCCTGCCTGCCTGCAAAAGAGTATGCTGAGCTCACATTTTGCTGCGGCGGCGGATGTTGGACGCGGGCTGCAGGGAGGTGTCTGTTCGAATTCCAACGTGTATGGATAAACAGATATACGAAATACAGTCGGCACTCGGCAATATCAATTTTTTTGGAAAAATGAAAAAAATAAAAAATAAAAAAATTGCGATGTGAAATGAAGGGTGGTTGGAGAATGGAAAATTTGCAATGTCAAATGTTTCCAGGTTATGTTTTCACAGCATACTTGCAAGCGGACGCCATCCGCGCGGTTCCACACGTGCGGCGGACTGCCGGACCGGACCCGTGCGGCGCACGAATGTGCGCCCGACGACCAGTTACCCCCCCCCCCCCCCCCCCCCCAAAAAAAAAGCCCCCGTCCGGTTCGGTCCGGTCCGGTCCGGTCCGGGTCCGTCTGGTCCGGGGGCAGGGTGCCGCACGCGGCAAAGCGGACCGGACCGGACACTCGTCCGGTCCGTGCGCTTGCAAGTATGTTTCACAGTAGTTGTACAGTCAAACCCGCAGACTTTTGCTCTGCGCCAACCTACGCATACTGTTTTGATGAATTTTTTCCCTCCTTTTTTTTATTTTTTGGCAAATTTCACCTTATGCTTTGGGCCAAGGCTTTTTATTAGTTTTTACGAAAAACATATTATCACCTTCTAGGCTTAGCCTACCAGCTGGGCCGCCCGGGTCACCTTGTTTGCCCGGGGGTGCCCGGCCGTGCAAGAACCATAGAAGGTCCCAGCCAAAAAAAAAAAGAAAAAGAAGAAAAAAAAAAAAGAAAAAAAAAAAGGAAAAAAAAATCTGGAAAAAAAAATGTTATGCAGAAAAGTTAACTGAATAACTTTTGCCTCAGGGTCGCATCGAAATTCTTTACCAAATTCAAAATAAAAAATGTTTAAAAATCAAATAAACTCCGACGAAACATTTTGTCACAGTCCCTCGTTTGTTGTCCTCTTCTCCCTGCCTCTCTGCCTTCGGTTTACCGAGCAGCTCTGTTTGACGACTTTTTGACGATATGTATATGTTATGTGCCTAATTGAAAACGGAATCCAGCATGCCATTCACATGTTCCCATACACATGCGGGAGGCAAGTAGACTTGGAGAGAGAAATTCACACCAAACCCGGTGATGATATTACACACCGCGGAAGCACTCGAAACCATTAATAGAATTCCATCTCTCTGTCCAGTTCAATCAAAACCACGAATTCTGGGAATCCCTACCACGTTATCAACACCCCACAAGCCAAGTATATACGAAGAAAGTTTCATTCGAAATATCCTGGAGTCTTCTTCTTCCTCCCGCTTCCTCAAGCTTTAGCCATGGCGCCATTTCCACGTCCAGCACCCAACCAGACAAGCCTGCCGACGCCACGTACCCTCCTGAATCCAACACGTCTCACTCTGCACCACTCACGAAGCCCATCTGCAGATTATGTGTCCACTCAGCAGGGGAGCGCAGATCCCAGCATGAAAAAGAAGAACAACTCGATGAAGATGAAGGCCTGCCGCTTCGAAAAAGACGTGCAAAGCTGCTTCGATGGCAGCTGCCTTAACCCCAACAGACACACCAGTACGAGGAAGCGCCCATCAGCGCCTATGGCCCACATCCCGATGCCGTCAACACTCGAGCTGGCCGGTCCCAGCTATGGCCGCCAGCAACATGAAGAAGATGAGTCACTATGCTGCTGAAGATAGCGCAGCTCTCAAGACGCAACCTCACCAGACCAACGTGAAAATACAAAAATGGAAAAGAACCAAAAAAAAACATAATTCCCCTTTGCCCCCCACAATTTTGTAGACTTGATTTTGACTGACTTGACTCAGCCTACAGCCTAGGATCAACAGCCTACAGCCTAGGACCAACAGCCTACAGCCTACAGCCTAGGTCCGAATCTAGACTGGAAACGGGAAAGAAGCGAAGACAGCAACTGGCCTACCTGTTACATCTTCGACGCACACGGGTCCTACCGGATCCGACTTAGGGCCGGAAGGACACATCAGGGCCTAAAGGCCCGACCTTGGGGTATTACAGGCCCTAAAGGTCTGATCTTGGACCAGTACCCAACGGGCAGGCCCAAACGGCATTATCGTTTGGGCCTGGCGGCGCTCTTGAGGCTGCCGCCCGCTGGTTGGGGCTGAACCGTCCATCTGGACGG